TGAAAAAAATAAAAATAAAGTACTTACCAGTCTGCCGGGGGCCTCCGGGCACCCCCTCGAAACTAAGAGAGGCTTGGAACATCGCAGGGAAAGGACGTGTGCTAGTCCAAATGCTTCATTCAGCAAACTTGCCGGGGCTGCTCCACTGAGGCTGGGCTCCCTCAGTCAGTGGCTTCGGAGTCCGAAACCCCCCCCCCCCGCCCCCGTACCTCCCGCGCTGCCACGCGTCCTCGTCCTCACAGGCAGTAAGAGGCAGCAGCTACACTCGCTGCAGGAAGCGGGAAGCGTCAGGAGAGAGGGCTCAGCCCTCCACAGCAGCCTGCTCACCAGCGTCACCGAGCAGCGCCAGGACGCCACTCACCCCGTGCCCAGGGAGGGAGGGGGCTGCAGGACCTCAGCACACTCCAGGCCGCCAGCTCTGATGTCAACATTTGCTTGGAGAGTCCCCACCTACGGGAATCTCTTCTGGGCTGCTGAAAGGGAGCTGCTGGGCAGGTCACCCAAAATCTGTTGATTGAACTCTCCTTGAACATTTTATTTCTCTCTGTTCCTCCCCATTCTGCCACTGCCTGGCACCCCGTGAGCCCGCCGGGTCAGGACCGTATAAACCAGGGGCCCCTTCCTGTGTTGGCACTGGCAACAGCCCAAAGGCTCACTAGCCTCCCTTTCCTCCTGATTGGAGGAACACAAAGCCGGCAGAAGTCGCGCCGACTGGCCCTGCCCTCTGGGTGGCTCAGGCAAGCTACCATGAGACCGGGGCGACAGGTACAGGCACCTCGTCTGGGGCGTCAAGAGAGGGTTCCCTGGAAGCTGGCGTTTTGAGGAGGAGCTGGCTAGACAGCAGAGCATCCAACAGATGGAAAATTACATCTGAGGCCTGGGCAGGAGGGAGGGTGGAGAGTGTGAGGCAGCAGCGGCACGGCTGGAGCTGAAGTGACAGGCGGGATACAGGTCACACAAAGGACAAACCAGGTTAGGAGGTTAGACCCTTGCAGCACCTGGGTGACTCAGTCGTTGAAGCGCCCTATTCTTGACTTTGGCTCAGGTCATGATCTCATGGTAGTGAGAGCTAGCCCCCAGTCAGGCTCCGTGCTAAATGTGGAGCCTGCTTAAGATGCTCTCTCTCCCTCTCTGCCCCTCCCCACTTGCATTCTCTCTCTCTCTCTCTCTCTCTCTCTCTCTCAAAATATAAAAACGAAAAAGAAAAAAGAACGTTGAACTTCATGCTGGAGCAGTGGATGCCTTCGCTGGTTTTAACCAGGGGTGACACACTCAGAGCTGTGCTTTGGGAAGCCCCTGGTAGCCCGTGGGGAGTGTGGTCCATATGGTGCTGCCCCACAGAGACCCTTAGCATCTACCTCTCACCGGCGTGGTGAGTAACGGGCCAACAGGCAGAGCCTGGGCCCGGACCCAGGACTGTGGCACCAAAGCTCCCAAGCAAATAAATTTGTGTCTCAGCCCATTTGGTTTGCTTGGTTTCATCTGAACACGCAAACGGGGAAAACCTCCCCAAAGTCCACTGCGTTTGAGATGCGTCATCTCATAGACACGGCCTGGCACGCACATCGGTCAATTACACCACGTGTGTGTGTGTGTGTGTGTGTGTGTGTGTGTGAGTGTCTATTCACCGTATAACTCACCTTCATGCATCTGCTCATGGGAGGTTTCAAACGTACGGAGGAGGGGAGAATGTCAGAGTCAACCCCACCAGGTGCCTGCCTCCGGCTTCCACGAGTGGCCCTTCTTGTTCCGCCCGCGTGCCGCCCGCACTCCATGCCCCGTCTCGGGTCATTTTGAGGCAAATCCCAAGCGTCAGAGGTAATACTGTCTCATCTATAAATATTTTAGAGTTTTTCCTCTAAAAGATGAGGGCTCTTTTTTATTTAACAGTAATAACCTCTCACATCAAAAAAACCCGATGAGTACACGTAAATATCATTAAAATGCACAGCTGGCTCTGAATGTTTTTAACCAAGTTTCTTCCAACTCCTTCCATCCCCTTCCGTTCTTCTTACACCCAGGGGTGTCCTGACTGTGTCCTTCAGGGGTCTGATCAGATTCGTGTTCACCGTTCTTTGCAGAAATACCTGGTGAGTGGTGGTGTTGGCCTGTCTGAATCGACAGTGCGAAGCGAGTCATGGGGCCCCGAGTGAACGGTCCCGGAGCCGCTCTCGGGCTTTCACACAGGTGGCCCTGTCTGCAACTTGGCAACTACTCGTTGCTTCGAGCTTCCCAGCGCATGCCATTAGAAATGTGGTCACTGCCGTTCCCCACCGAAGTGGCCCAGGGCTCACGGGGAAGAGGCAGAGCCCGGGCAGAGGAAGCAGCCGCGGGCCTGGGGCACCCGCTGAGCCTGAAAGGCGGTGCCCCTGAGGACACAGGGACACTGCCTAAATCTGCAGCAGCGACAGACCACGACCTGCTGCGTCCCAGGTGGCTTGCGAGTCTGTCCTGCCACGAACAAGAAGGGAGTGTGCGCCCTGACTGCAGAAATGCAGACTCAGCAACACTGAAGTCCTGAGGGTTCTTTGCACTGTTCTGAAGTCTCAAATTACGTCCAGACGAAGGAAGACACCTCAGGAGAAGCACGTGTGCCTCACCTCACTCACTGGTCTCACTGGAGTCCCAGGGAGGCTGGACGGTAGAGGCCCTAACAGGAGACCCCGGCTGGGTGTTGTGCGAGCCTTTCTTACTGCGTGGCCACAGCCCACACTCAGGGTTCCTCTCAGGACCAGGAAGCCCGGTGCACGGCTCAGCGCGGCTCCTGCTGGAGGGACCCGCCACTCTCGCTGTTCTAAGTGCCCTATCGCTCCTTCCTGCCCCGGCAGGGCACTTGGAGAATGTGGCTGGAAGTGGTGGCACTGGCCACTGCCTGGCAGGTGAGTCACGGCAGGTCTACGAAGGCCCCTGTTTTTATCTGGCTCTTTTGGATCTGCCCACCTGATTTCCTGCTGCAGGTGACATAAACCCTGAAAGCTGAGAGGCCATCTGTAAATGTCAAATTAAAACATTATTCTCAGAAGGGACTCAGGGAGTCCAACAGAGCCCTGGGGAGCTCCAAAACCTCAAGCTTTAAGTCTGATTTGTTCCTCAGGCAGGTTACTTGCCTCAGAGGAAAGATGGAGGGATTTCCTGACTTTACGAGGCTGAGGAGGTGAAGGTGAGGTTACCTTTGAGTATTTTGAGGTCCTTTTATGGAGTGGGCTTCACAAGAATCCCAGCAAACTCCGTACTTTTTTTTTTTTAATTTTTTTTTTCAACGTTTATTTATTTTTGGGACAGAGAGAGACAGAGCATGAATGGGGGAGGGGCAGAGAGAGAGGGAGACACAGAATCGGAAACAGGCTCCAGGCTCTGAGCCATCAGCCCAGAGCCTGACGCGAGGCTCGAACTCCCGGACCGCGAGATCGTGACCTGGTTGAAGTCGGACGCTTAACCGACTGCGCCACGAAGGCGCCCCCAAACTCCATACTTTTGAAAATAGATGAGCTCTCCAATTTATTACCCACACCAGGCCACTTCTGAAAGCGTGAGGGAACCACTAACACTACTCCAGGCTGGCAAGTGTGAACGGGTGCACGGCCACCAGCTCTTACACTGGATCCTGACTCCCGAGGGCAACACCGGCAGCTCCTTCGGTGATGCTAGAATATGCTGCTAACCCTTTCCAGGGAGCCTGGGGCGCAGGGCAAGGACGGAGCTGGTTCAGAGCCCCGAATCTGCCCCACTCACACCCTGGCCCTGCCACTAACTTCTTTCCATGGAGAAATCCCTCCACCGGAGCCCTCGCCTGGAAGGGGCTATTCCAAAATAACAACCCGGGCGACCCAAAGGGTCGGGATAGACTGGGTTGTGTCCGACACAGAAGCATCCACAGAGGGGTGCTCCAGGATTTGTGTGTGTTGTCGAGCCCACCTGGTGTTGTTTTGGGGGGTCTCGCTCATCTGTATACGTAAGGACGGACGTGCTGACTGGTTAGCACACATGCTGTCCTCCCCCCTCCCCGTAAGACCCCACAATTTCCACCTGTACAGCAAGTGCCAGTGGGATAAACTTATCATGGTCACTGGACCAAGAACAGCTCACTGATGTTTTCCCTTTGGGTGATTAGACCAGTAAGTTCCGTTCCTCTCCCTGCTCCCCTCTGACCCCAGAAATAAGCCACCTGTCGCAACATGGGCTTGTCATCTTAGCTGACAAAGGACACTGACGCTCTGGAGCCACCAAACCACACCGGTGATGAGGCCTATTAAATCCCCAGGTCCTGCTGTCAATGAGAAGCTGAGTGTCCGACAATTATTGAATAAATTATTCCATAAATTAACAAATAAACTGGGGTACGGAGCCCGACTGCCAGATTTGAACATTAACTCTGCCACTGACTGACCCTGAGCGAGAAGCTTCACCTCCCCAAACCTCAGCTTCCTCTCCTGTAAAAGGAGTAATGCCAGCACCAGGAGTAACCAGCCCAGCCAGGCACAGCGGTTTCCCCGGGGCCGGTAGTCAGCGTTCAATAAAAAACATTTTTATCTTACCGCTCTCTGTCCCCCCACAACTGTTGAGTTAGAAGGCAACGAACTCTCTCGAATTGACTGGAAATAACCCATAAACAAATGGATGAATAGTATTATCCTAAGACAAAAAGCCTTTGCTATGGCAATACAAAGGTGTCTCACGGGTATTTGATCCCAAATGAGGCTCTGTTCCAGCCCCGGAATAACGAGGCTCAGGAAGGTGGCCAGCTCTGAGGGTCCTCGGACCCGTCAGCACGATGCGGGGTTGCATGTGCCTGTGATACCCCCGGCGAGCCCAGGGGCTGCTCAGGAGCCGGCCAGCCTCCCTCAGCCCCTCCCGGAGACGCCCTGGTGATAACTGTGCAGGCTTCTCTGAGGCAGACAGAAGCCACTGAAACCAGGCAAAGACACTGAAAATCGACAATCAGAAGCCGTTTCTGTCTAGAGGGAGCGAGCACAGGGCATGGTGAGGAAGCACACCTCTAGTCGTCGTTCATAATATTTATTTTGGAAAAATATTTTAAAAAGGATTTTCTTCATTAACAAAACAGTAAAAAACTCAAATAACATTTGCACAATATTCCATAAATACATTTATATACAAAAAAATATAGTCACATAGACCCGAAGTGCCTTTGTACATATTTACCAAAGATTTAAATTATAAAAAATGAACATCACAAAATACTCAAGCTTTACAGATATCATGAAAAATATTTTTACAAGTCCAAAAAAATAACACACATTTTTTTTCCACCTAGAAAAAACACATTTTAGTATCAAAAAGGACGATAAAGGCAGTGTTTGTGATTCTAATTCAAGAAAAGACCGGCTCATGAGAACCCAAAATATACACTTCAGGCAGTGCATGCTTCTCACGTAGTAATTAAGTCCATTCATTTAAATATATATTTTTTAAAAGCCAACTGTCCATAGTGCAATGGGAACGTCCTAGAAGGCAGTGCAACAGGCCCCTTGGCCGCCGCCGAGCTGCAGCCACGCCGCGTCCCCAGCTGGCCTCGGAAGGGAGAGCCGGCTGGGTCCGGATCGGTTCCTCAGCAGCAGTCCGTGGGTCTCCCTTTCCTCTTTCAAGCAGCATCCACTGGGGCATATATCCTTGGAATTTTATTTATTTTAAGAGAAACGGGAACTTTGCCGTATCACCTCCATTTCACACCTGGTGGGCCCACAGGACAGGATGGGAAGTTAGTTCCGGACAGAGGTCAGCACCCTCTGACTTCTCTCTCCCCCCGCTTCCGCCCCGAGACCAGGCCCGGGCTGCGCACTGACCTCGGTCGCTATGACGCACTCGTCTTTCTCCTCCGATATGACGTACACTGACTGGTACTTTGTGTCTTTTGAAGTAGAATACACGGAGTCTGGTCTCTTTCTTTCAGGTGCTTCTCCACTGAGGGGAAAATAAAAGAACCACAAGAAACACGTGAGAACAGGAAAAACCGACCAGCGCCGGCCCAGAGTGCAGCACCCCCTTCGGGGGTAAAGCTCAGGGGTAGAGCGTCTGACTGCAGAGTGCAGCACCCCCTCGCATCGGGGCGCCCTCCCAGGCTGGCCTTCCCGCGTGTCCCCTCCCGGCCCGCAGCACGCACCCCCTGAGTGTCGGGGTGCTCTTCTCCTCCCCTGCAGAGCCCTGGGGCTGGCCCTTGGCGTCACGCTTGCCATGGGGGTCCCTGACGGCGGCCGCGGCGTCGCCCTTGAGGTCCTGCACTAGGTTATAATCCACAGCAGGGTAGCGGGCCTTGAGACCGTTCTTATCAGCCCCGTGGTCCCCGTGGAAGTCAACCTTCTTGTTGGTGTTCTTGATCTGCGTGGCCCCGATGACGCTGACACAGATGTCCTTCTCGCGCTGGCAGTTGGCCAGGTTGTTCATCGTCTCCGCCTCCCCACGGCAGGGCTCGGCAGGGGGCCGGTCCTTCTGCAGCCTGAGCCGCACACAGACCACGGCGGCGGCACAGCCCAGCAGCAGCATGAGGACAAGCACCACGCCGGCGCAGACGGCCACCCAGGGGAAGGGCCCGGCCTGGCCCTCCACGTACTTCTCGGTGAGGTCCACCACCACCGCGGGGCCCGGGGGCGGCTCAGGCAGCAAGAACTGGCAGTTGGGGCCCCCGTAGCCCCGGGCGCACTCACACAGGTAACGCCGGTCCCTCTCGTGGCAGGTGGCCCCGTTGTGGCAGGGCGCGTGCTCACACCTGCTGACAGGGGCACTGCAGTTCCTGCCCGTGTAACCTGGGGGACAGGTGCAGGAGTACTCGTTCACGCCGTCCCGGCAGGTGCCCCCGTTGGCACACGGGGAGGAGGCACAATCATCCACGTTGTCTTCGCAGCGCCTCCCGGAGAAGCCAGCCTGGCAGCGGCACAGGTAAGCATCACCAAGGTCCACACACTGTGCACCTGGAACACAGGACACATTCTGAAGCCTCGCCACGTGTCAGTCCTGCAAGGTGCACCAGGGATGCGAGACAGACGAGGCAGCCGTGGCCTAGACACAAACATCAGGGGAGGGGTCTGGTCCAGCTCTAGCTCAGTAAACTGCAAACAATACAGCTAATATCTCTTTTCTTTAAGTATTTTTTTAGCGTTTGTTTATTTTTGAAAGAGACAGAGTGCAAGGAGAGGAAGGGCAGAAAGAGAGAGAGGGAGACACAGAATCCGAATCGGAAGCAGGCTCCAGGCTCTGAGCTGCCAGCACAGAGCCGGACACGGGGCTTGAACTCGTGAACTGTGATGAGATCGTGACCTGAGCCGAAGTGGGACGCTCCACCGACTGAGCCCTCCAGGCGCCCCAAGTTTATTTAAATTTAAAGAGAGAGAGAGAGAGAGAGAGAGAGAGAGAGAGACAGAGTGTGAGCGGGGGAGGGGCAGAGAGAAAGAGGGAGACACAGAATCCGAAGCGGGCTCCAGGTTCTGAGCTCCCAGCACAGAGCCCGACGCGGGGCTCAAACTCACGGGCCTTGAGATCACGCCCCGAGCAGAAGTCGGACGCTGACTGGGCACCCCCGCAGCTAACCCTCCCAGCAGCTCCGCTCCCACCGGGGCAGTACACGGCGCTTTGGCTACAGCGTTGCATTCACTTTCGCGACATCCCACAAAAGACCCGGTTTGCAGATGAGGAAACTGAGGCTTAATGAGGCTGATGTGCTTGCCTGCAGTTCCACAGTCAGTGAAAAGAGCAGGGCTGACAACAGAAAGGAAGAGGAAGAAAGGAGGGAGTGGAAGAGGTCTCTGTCCTTCGAGAGCCAATCTGTTAAACCTCCTGCTATTCTGCCTCTAAAATAAAGCAGCCAACCTTTCTGTTGCTTCAGTGGGTAGAAACAAACAGGAGGCAGAGCCTGAGCCCACAGGACCGCCACACCCTCTGTACGGCACGTGGACAGCAGAAGGACAGGGATTTCCTCTCTGTCAATCATCGTGGCTAATGGCGAAGCTCACAGAAGGCCTGGCATGTCTGGCCCCAGCTTCTCTCCTCTACCCACTCACAGGGGAGCAGGGGGCCCGTCAACAGACCACACTTCTGCACAGACACACCAGACGGTTATGTTTGGGTGACAGAGCTGAGCCGGGCTTCCCTCCAAAAACAGTCGCTGGGCTGCCATTGGAGCGCAATCTACTGAATCATGGCCCCGACTCAGACACCTGTGGTGCGATATGACCTTGAGAAGTCATCCCACCTCTCTGCCTCAGGCTCCCCCTGTAGGACGTGAGAATCCACACTCCTGCCTGCCTTTCTTGCTCCTTGAGCATTTCCAGGCTCGGGGATAACACTTCTCTGAAGAGTTTCTGTTCAGTTGAAAGGGCTCCATAACCTCGGGGTAGCTTGCAAAGTGACGTGTTTGGTTGGAAACGAAACGCGTGCGCTCTTTAATGTATTCTCATCAGTGCTGACCACCTGACAAAGTCTCAGAGCGGCTGGGGCTGCCGTCCTACCATGAGAACAGGGTGAAGAGCTGCAGGAATCCACCTTCTTCTCACAGTTAAAGCCGGAGAAGCCCACGGGGCAGCGGCAGGTGTACCCTCCTTCGGGGTTGTCTGAGCACCGTCCCCCGTTGAAGCAGGGGCCGTCGGCACACGCCATGGCACTCAGCTCACAGATTCTGCCGTAGAAGCCGGGTGGGCACGTGCAGGAGTAGCCATTCTCAAGATCCTGCGTCGCAGAGAAGATAAAGCGCTGTCACAGGGTCGCTCCAAGAGACCCACGTGATGCGTATCAAACCAGCGCCCCCGTTCAACAGGAAATCCTGCTGGGGCTGGACTCACCGTGCAGCTGCCTCCATTCCTGCAGGGGCTGGCGCCACACTCGTCGATCTCCGTCTCACAGTTGGCCCCTGAGTACCCCGGCCGGCAAGAGCAGGTGTAACTTCCCTGGCCCGTGTTAGTGCAGGTGGCCCCGTTCCTGCAGGGCTTGTGGTGTGTGCAGTAGTTCAGGTCTGCGAGGGGCAGAGGCGGGAGAAGGAGGAGAGAGAAGCCCAGGGTCAGACTCAGGGAGACCACACCTTCCCCGTGACGAAGCCAGGGAAGCCCAGGGCTGCTGGATGGGGCTGGGGGCTCACCCTGGTTGCAGAAGAGGCCACCCCAGCCCTCCTGGCAGTTGCATTGCCAGGGCTGCTGGCAGGTGCCGTGGAGGCAGCCTGGGTACCGGATGCACTGGTCACAGTACCGGCTCTGCCAGCCCACTCTGCACCTAGGAAGAGAGCACGTGTCAGGCGGGCGCCGGCACCACCGGGCTCAGGGTCACACACACGCCCGAGCCACGAGAAACCACCTTCCAGCGACACCAACACGTCTGGCTCTCAAACGAGGCAGAGCACCGGCATCTCCTCGGGAGCCTGCAAACACGCCAGTGCCTCAGAGGGTCTGATTTCTGGGAGTGAGGCTCGCTGGGACAGCATTTTTAGGGGCTCCCTACGTGGTCCTAGGATGCCAAAAAGTTTGGGAATCCCTGAACTAAACCTATCTTCAATGTCAATTCCTTGCAGACAGCTATCCGTACGTTCCCATAACCACTGAGGGGCTTCCGTGACTGACAACCTGTGACTCTACGTGTTTCTGTATGTTTACTAAGTAGAAACACGAGAATAACGGCTCCAACCCCAACAGCCAGCTACTCTTACCCTGAAGTTTTCAAACCATCACCCAGAGCTACTTTGCAAATACACCAGGTACAAGGAGAAGCAGAGAAGAGAAAAACCCCTTTTGCAAACTTACTTGCACTCCCCTGGCTTGTCACAAAACCCATGCAGCTCATCGCATCCTGGCAAGCAGATTGCTACAAGCAAAGAGAAGACACGGGGTCAAGCCCCACCCCAAGATCCTCCCCAACACAACCGGGGGCTGCTGCCACAATGCGGTTGGGACAAAACTTGCTCAGCTCAGTTGGCAGACCCAGCGGAGTTAATCTCCATCTGTGGAGTATCCACGGTCCTGCCTGGTAACTGTGGACTTCACTCCGCCCTGGGATGAGCATTCTTCTTAACACAGCGGCTCCAGGACAAAAGAGCGCGGAAACCCCCCCCCCCCCCCCCTCCCCTTTTCTTCTGAGAGGGTCAGAAGTCCTTCCCCCTCCTCCTCCCCCACTTCCCAATTCTATGCACAAAGCTCCACCTCTTAATACCCAGAAAGTGTGTGTGTCGATAAGGGTGGACAGCTGGTATGCAGAGTACCAGGGCAAGACAGCTGCTCTATTGTCTCTGCTCTCCCAGCAGCTGCCCCAGTGCGACAATACCGCCTCCCCCGCCCCCCGCCCCCACCCGCACACACACCCCCGGCGTGTGTGTACACACACACACACACACACACACACACACACACAGACACGCGTGTGCGCGCGAGCCCTTTCCGCCAATGGGAGCTGGCGTGCGCTCCCGCCGCCTTTGCCGGGAGAGATCTAATCGATGGCACGCGCTAGCTGGGGGCGGGGAGAGGCTCCAGTGTTTGAATAAGAAGAAAAAAGTTTAAGTTTACGGCTCCCCCGCAGCGAAGAAGAGGAGGGAGGGGAGCGGACGGAAGGCAGCAGGCAGGCCAGAGGTCCCCGCGGGGGTGGGGGCTGATGTGGAGCTGGCTTCCTTCACAGAGTTATGAAACTCATCGACGAGCCGCTCCAAGTTTGTAAGACAACAGAGCCCGCTCAGGCCCGGGCGCAGCTCAAAACAATGACCTACCCTCACCCCCAGGCACGAATCAGAACTGAGAGACCTCCCTGGCAAGAGGTTCTGGGCCTAAGGACAAGGAGGGAGGTTCGCCTGCTCCAGGGCAGGAGAAGGAAAAGTCACCAGGGTTTCTGGGGAGTTCCAGGGCCCACCCAACCCCTAACTAGAGGGAAACCCAACCCCTGGGTGTGCAGACTGGCAGTGAGGCCTCCGCAAGCTGAAGAGAGGCCTACCAACCTGAAGCAGGCCCAGGAGCCAGCGGAAGCCTCGCAGGCCTCCCGCTCTCCACCAGAATCATGGGGCAGGCAGGGCCCATCGCCTTTTGGTGAAGGTATTTCTTCCCCAGGCAAAGTGTTCTGTGAGCGCAGTGTGCGCTCTGGCAGGCGGGCCCCTTCCCCTGTGGCTCCTGCCTACCCAGGCCTCAGCTGACACACACGGTCTCCTGTCCACAGACCCCTATGAGGGACTATGTCATGAACAACACACGTGCGTCACGCAGAGTATTTGCAAATACGCTCAGTCTGCGAAAAGGCCAAGCACACCAACTCTAGAAAGAAAACGAAGCATTTTTCCAATGAGACGCTGTCCTGGCAAAGAGAACTGGTTTGGAGCATGTGCCTCCACATATAAACTCTCCTCTCTGTTCCTCCCTTCCTTCCTCCTCTCCCTCTCCCTCCGGCTCACTTCCTGACCCCTGGCCCTGTCTCCAAAATCCTCCCTGATTAAGAAAGGCAGCTTCCCATAGCGGAAGTTAAAACTTCTGAGTTGACCCCAACCCCGCTGCTGGCTAGCTGTGAGGTCTCGAGCGAGTTTTTCCAGCTCTCTGGCCTCAGTTTCCCCACCAGGGCATCACTCCACTGCTGACATCTGAGGACCCCACTGGCTCACAGAATACTCCCACCCCCACCAAGGAGGGAAGCAGGAACTCACGTTCAGTGCAGTACTGGCCTTTCCAGCCTGGATCGCAGACTTTTTCCCCCCTCTCCCCGCAGGTGAAGTGGCCGAAGGCGTCGTCTCGGGGGCGACAGAAGACGGAGCAGCCGTCCCCGTAGTAGTGCTCGTCACACACAAAGCGGTAGGAATACTTGAGGTCTGTTCGGCCGCTGCTGTGCAGGTCCTGAGACCACTCCTCGCCCACAGTCAGGTGCCTCTGCGTGGCCAGGCGGCTGATGAGTCTTTCTGGGTTTTCTGTGGGAAGACGGTGCTCCCGTTGGTTCTGACCAAGAACCCAGAGGCTTGGGGCACTGGGGGAGGTAGAACTGACGTGTGATGCAGGGGAGGAGGCCACAGGCCCTCCACCCAGAGCCTCCTGCAGGAGTTTGCAGAATGTAAGCACAGAAGCTGATTTCTGGTGGAGACAAGAGGTCAAGTGCGTACTGACTGGGGAAGCTGTTGACTTGGTTTTGGAGTTTTTTGATTTGTTTTTACCTGTTGTGAGGTCATCAGGAGAATCTGTGTGAAGGGCTTCAATGATCAGCGAAAAGGTGCCCTGGGAGAAAGGGGGAGGAGACAGAAGATAAACTAGAAATGTTAAAAACCAAAACCCAAAGGGACGCTCTCGGGTCACCCAAGTCCGGAACCGCCTGGGGTGCGGTGCAGATCTGTGTGCCCAGAGCAGGGTCTCCGGACATCTCTTGCCTGTTTTCACTTTCCTCAAGGAAATGGAAGAACTTTTTAAAGAGTGGTTTCCTGACGTGTTTTTTCAGCCTGTTAGTACAGGATATCACGTTAAAAAAAAAAAAAAAAAAAGGCTGCGAGCAGGCGGGGCTGCAGGGATTGTCATCAGTGGCCGGGGGGGGGGGGGGGGGGCTACACACAGGGGCCAGGGGCTGTCATGCTGCGAAAGCAGTTCAACCTGCCCATAGACAGGGCAACGAGAGAACTGTCCCCCGAGAAGGCGCTCGCTGGACCGGGGAGCTACGGGCAGAGGCCGGTTCCGAAACCTCCCAGACCCTCCGCCTCTCGGCCCCGCGGTAGCCCGGCTGTCACTCTGCCGCCTGAAGGGTCACTGGGGGCGTGGAGGCGATGCTCCGGGCCTGGCCCCTTCCGCCGCCACCCTGAGGACCGCGGCGCCCGCTCGCCTCCCCTCCCCGGCACCCCGCCGGTGCGCGCCCCCAGCGTGCCTGGCGCGGGGCTGACCCGTCGAGGCCCCCGCCCCGCCCCGCCCCGCAGGTGCAGCGCTCACCGGCCAGGTAAAGCCGAAGGGGAAGCGGATGGGGTTGCTAAAGGCGGGGTCGGCGCCCGCGCCGTCGGGCAGGCTGAAGGAGTCCACGCCCAGCACCGGCGTGACGGCGCTGCCGTAGGTACAGGGTGGCTCAGGAGACACGCTGGCCTGATAGTGCTTGAGGCACACGCGGAAGAAGGTCCTGCAGGCGCACGGCGGCGGCCCCGCGCCCCCGCGGCAGCAGTTGCGGTTTCCCAGCAGCCCCTTCTTGTTGACGAACTCCTGAAGCTTCAGCTCGAACACCCCGGAGGTCCAGACCTGGGGGAGGGGGGGGACGGGGGGCGGGGCTGAGGGCGCGGGGCCCTGCGCTCCGAGGCTAGCTTTCGGGTTCACCGCGGGCTCCGCCGGCCCGGCTCGCCACCCCCCTGCGCCCCCTGTGCCCTGCCTGACGCCTCGCGGCTCCCGGGTGCCCCATCGACACCCGCCCTGACAGCGGGGCCCTGGACACCCCAGCCGACAACTTACCTGGCACAGCAGGGCCGACACCACGGCGAGGGCCAGGGCGCACCGGCGGCCCATGGTGCACCGCTGGACGCGCTCGAGCTCCCCTGCGCCCCCGCCTTCGGGCCCTAGAACTGCGGGGGGTGCCCGAGGGTGGCCGTGGCCCCCAGGAGCGTGGACAGAGAAGCGCCGCCGCTCCGCCGCGGGCCGGGGTGATCAGGGCTCCTTTCTTCCGGAGCCCGTGTCTCCTCTTTCGGGGGCTGCGGTCGTCCAGATCCGCCCTGCGCGGGTGACGGCGCTCTGGGGGTGCACGAGCAAAGGGCTGGCTCCGAGCCTGCTGATGGAGCCGCAACTTTCGGTTTTCCTCCTTTCTTCCAGTCCACCAGTAGGTAGGGGTCGTTGGCTTCCTGGTTTTGTCTCAAGCTTCTTCCCAGGAAAAAAAAGGGGGGGGGGAGGGGAGGAAGCGTCCAGATTTTCAGCTTAATTCCCAAAGAGCTTCCTCCGAGTCCGATTAGAGAGCCGAGGTCTGGAAATCCCACCGGCGAGGCGATAATCCCGGGCCCCGCGGAGCGCGCGCAGGGACCCCGGCGGTGGCGAGTGTGCGCGGCGCGCCCTGCGGCTCGGGCCCGTGTCACTCGGCGGCGGCGTGCGTGCCGGGAGCGTCCCGGACTCGTGTGTCCCGCGCCCCCGCGCAGACACGCGTCTCCCCGAAAGACCCAGCCGGTGCCATCCACATAAACAGCACGGGGTCCCGGCACAGGGCGGCGGGTGGCGAGCCGAGACGCCGCGCCACGGCTGCGCGTCCGGTGCGCGCTCGGCCCGGCCGCTCTCCGCGGGTGCGCGCCGAGGTCTGCGCTCGCCGGCGCCGGCCGCCCTTATATCCCGCCGGCCGCCCGCATGGCTAATGAGATGCAAATGAGCAGCCCCCCAATCTGGCGAGAGCTGTCACAAAGGAGCCACTTTTCCAAACCCTCCTCTCAATGGATCGCCAAATGGTCAGTGAGCTGTAAAATGTGCAACCTCCTCCCCGCCCCCACACCTCCCCGCCCCCGGCCCTCCCCTGCCCCCGCCCCCGCCCCCCGCCTTCCTCCGCACCACACAAAACGCGCTCATTTACATTCCTGCAAAATGTTCGCCGCGAGAATCCCCTGCGCTCGCGAGGCGGGGGCCCTGGCCGCGGCCCCTCGGCTCTGCCGCCGGCCGCAGGCTCGCGGAGCCCCGCGGGGACACGCGGGGACGCGCGGGGGCGGTGCCG